GCAGCCACTGCACTCCAGTCTGGGTGACAGAGTGAGACTCCAACTCAAAAAAAAAACACAGAAAACAAAAAACACCTTATATTTATCATTTCATAATCCTCAGCACATTACCCCTATGAAGATTAGGAAACTGAGACTCAGAAAAATAAGTAATTTGCCTAATGTCACAGCTGGTAAATAGCAAGGGCCCTTTGAGTTCTGTCCCTGAAGGCTGTGGAAAGGAAGATTTGGAGGGGGTACCTGGGGGACTAAGCTAATGGGTTGCATGTGGGATTTTGTTTCTTAGTGGTAAGGAGGGTCCCAGACCGGGCCTTTGGAGGCCTTGTCAGCTTCCATTCCTCCATTCTTCCCTCACCATATGGGTGACACAGAAGGCTAACTAGAAGGGCCACAGAGGAACTCAGCGTGGACCCTGGAGATGGTGATAAACATTGGATGTTTCAGATGACTTCCCTGAGATCCCATCTCTTTAACAAGATCCTATCTCTACAAAAAAATTAGCCAGTATGGTGGCTGAGGCAGAAGAATCCCTGATCCCAGTAGTTCGAGGTTACAGTGAGTCATGATTGGACCGATTGGACTGATACTGACTGACCACATAGCAGAATGGCTTTTGACTAAGTCCTAGCTATATGTGACTTTCTTAGGACCCATGTGTATCAGAGACTATGTGACTTCTTGAATACAAATGGGAGGTGAACTTAATAAGTATATTTTATTAAATAGTCTTTTAGAGCTTGGACCCATGGGGCAATGGGTTGTAACTGAAAAAGTTGTTGATAGTGTAAAGTTTAGGAGCTATACTCTGTTCCTCTTTTTACAGACAGAGAAACTGAAGTGTGAACTCATGTCCTCAAGCAAGATCCTTTCAGAGTCTTTCCAGGGGCTTGGAGATACTTCTTGTGCTCTGAGGCCCCAACTAAGGTTTCCTGTGTTTTTTTCAGATTGACGCGTCATGCCTTACGTGGGAAGGACAGCAGTTCCAGGGGAAAGCTGCTATTGTGGAGAAGTTGTCTGTAAGTAAGGGCGAGAGCCAGAGTGCAGGTGACTCCCCTGACCCTCTGGCCACAGTTTATCCACAGCCCACTCTCTGTCTTGCAGAGCCTTCCGTTCCAGAAAATACAGCACAGCATCACGGCACAGGACCATCAACCCACACCAGATAGCTGCATCATCAGCATGGTTGTGGGCCAGCTCAAGGTAACAGTGCTGCTGCAGTACCAGGGAAGAGTGAGCAGACAGAGGAGAGCCCTGAGCCCCTTCCTTCCCTGTAGACGGGACCTGTTTATCAAGGGATACCCAGACAAAGTGACTGTCTAGAGTTGCATAGTTTAGTATGACTGCCATTAGCCACATTGATACTTTTTCAGTTACATTGATTAAAATTAAAATTGAGGGTTAAGTGTGTCTCGTGCCTGTAATTCCAGCACTTTGGGAGGCCAAGTGAGCAAGAGGATCACTTTAGGCCAGGAGTTCGAGACCAGCCTGGGCAACACAACGAAATCCTATCTATATAAAACAAACAAATTAGCCAGTATGGTGACTGAGGCAGGAGAATCCCTGAGCCCAGGAGTTTGAGGTTGCAGTGAGCCATGATTGGACCATTATATTCCAGCCTGTTCACAGAGCAAGATGCCATCTCTTTTTTTTTTTTTTGAGTTAAAAGAGTCTCACTCCATCACCCAGGCTAGAGTGCAGTGGCACACTCACCACCACCCCAGCACCAACCTGCTGGGCTCCGGCGATCCTTCCACCTCAGCCTTCCAAGTAGCTGGAACTACAGACACGCACTACCAAGCCTGGCTCATTTTTGATTTGTGGTAGAGACGAGATCTCGCCAAGTTGCCTAGGCTGATCTCAAACCCGTGGACTTGGACAGTCCGCTAGCCTCAGCCTCCCAAAGTGCTGGGATTACAGGCTGAGTCACCAAGCCCGGCTTACTGGCCATATTTCAAGTGCTCATAGTAAGTCATGTGGCTACCTATTGGTCAGTGCAGATATAGAACATTTCTATGATTGTAGAAAATTCTAGCCTGGCACAATGGCTCATACCTATAATTCCAGTGCTTTTGGAGGCAGAGACAAGAGGATTGCCTGAGCCCAGGGGTTTGAGACCAGCCTGGGCAACATGGCGAGACCTTGTTTCTACAATAATTCAAAAAATTAGCTGGACATTGTGGCATACTCCTTTAGTTCCAGCTACTTGGATGGCTGAAGCTGAAGGATCGCTGGAGCCCAGCAGGTCAAGGCTGCAGTGGCTGTGAGCATGTGACTTCACTCCAGCCTGAGGACAGGGTGAGACTCCCTGCACTGGTATAGATAGGCCAGCTGTGTTTCCCTACTGGAGCCCATGCTGCCATTCCCAAAGCTGACTGCTGGCTCCTCAACTGCTAAACGGAGCAGATTCCTGGAACTTCCACTTCTCTTTGCATTTTCCCTTCCCCTTCTTAAGACCTGTTATTCTCAAAGCCTCATCCCCTAAGAACTCTCTTAAGCAGTCAGTATTGCTCCAGCCTACTAAAGCCAGATTCTCTGTTTCCAAAATCCTCTTCCTCCAAAAGCAGGATAAATTGGCTGCCTCTTGACTAGGTTTTAGCCTCCTGGACTTTTGTCATGGTAGGACTCACAGTAATAGGCTTACATGCTTTCTCCTTTGGTTAGCTGGGGCAAGGCTTCCTGAGTCCAATGTGGCAGGAGGAAGAGACCTTCTAGGCCTTAGCAGTGGACCCAGAGGCCTCTGCCTTCTGGTCTAGTCTTTCCTGTCAGTTTCTCTTGCCTGTTCACGATGCCCTCTCAGAGCTCAGTGCCCACTTTTTCAGACAAGGCTAGTAAGCACTGCCCCTTGTCACCTGGCTTCAGGTATTTCTTGGTGTTTTTGTCTAACTTGGAGTTCCCAAATGACTGATTTGCCTCTGATGATAATTCCTAGAAAACAGGTGATGTTCAAGACAGTGCTGGTTAGCTGGGCACTTATTTCAAATAAGTTTCACCCTGGTTTTTTGTAGTTTGGCTGGAGGTTTCTTGCCTTCCTTTTTTCATTGCATATGTCATATATTACATAACAGGAAACAGATCATCTAATGGTGATGCTATGTTTTTTGTTTGTTTTCCGTGTAGAATTGTGATCACATTTGTCAATTCACCTTTGAGCCTTTTCTCACATACTTGGCTATAGGCAGTATTAGCAGTAGTTTCTCCTGGCTGGACTGACTGACATTATCAAATACTAAGATTATTTAGTAATTATTATTGTAAGTTACTTGGTAAATAACTTTAGGATTCTTTTAAAATTTTGATCACTTGTGCCCAGAGCTGTAAGCTTGGAGGCAAGTGTAACCTCTGTTGTTGTAGTTAACTGGTGAATTGTTATGCAAATTATGTGCACTTAGTAGTATGAGCTGCTACCTGTTGGCCTCTATAAGCCCAGTGCATTGCTTCATATATTGCATCAATTCACATTCACTGGGATTTGAGTCAGTTGGACCTGATCACAAAATCTACATTTTTTGCCCTGTTCCCCTACCACTGAACTCTTTTCCTATTCTTTGGCCCTCTGACTGAATCATTTTCTCTCTCCTCACAGGCCGATGAAGATCCCATCATGGGGTTCCACCAGATGTTTCTATTAAAGAACATCAATGATGCTTGGGTTTGCACCAATGATATGTTCAGGCTTGCCCTGCACAACTTCGGCTGACCACCTCCCAGCCAGGCACTCATGCTGTTTCCTCCTCCCTCCTCTTCCCAATACTATTCACACTCCTCCAGATGCTCCAAATATCATACACAAATGAGCAGAGCCGTGGTGGGAGTGGGCGCAGTGCGCTGCTGCCACCAAGGTGTTGTGCATGATGTTTGGATGCTAGACTAGTCGCATCTGACAGGAGAAGTTTGTGTTGTACCAGCGCATGCCTTGGAAAGACTTAAGTAATGCAAAAGGTTGTCCTTTTTTTTTTAATCTACTGACAAGTTGCTCTAGTAACCCAAAGAAGTGAAGGAGAAAGCAGCTGCCTCACCGCCCAGATTGATTTGTTCAGATGTTTCAATGCCTCATGATACAATAAAACCACAAAAATTTTCTTAACAGTTTAAATTGTTTTAATTAGTTTACTAGTTGACTGGGCATCAGTAGCTAACTTGACCCATTGTCTCCCTCATGTCTCACCCTGCCACCTCTGTCCCAACTTCACAATACCTGTTGCAAGGAGAAAACTGCTAAAGCAGCACTCGCAGCTAGCTTCTCTCAAGCTCACCTGGTCTTGGGAAAGCAGACAAGGAGAACTTAGGTCTGGCCTGAAGTTTCCCTTGCACTAAAGCCTCTGCAGTCAGTTCTGATACCTCTTGTGACCTCTGCCCTAGGTAGATGCAGGGTTCTACTAGTGGGAGAGATAACCCTGAATCCTACTGAAGCTGGAGAGACCTTGGCAAAATGACCCATCAGGTTTCAGTCCCTCTGGACTGAAGTCTCAGCAATATCAAGGGAGAGGCCTTTACTCCCTGAAGGGCAAGGATCATATCCAGGGTACCCCACATACCCCAAACGAAGCAGAGGGACAGCTCGGTCCTGTACCACCTGCTTTGGATGTCATTGCCTACAGAGCCAGACCCAGTTGGTTTGGAGTATAGATTTGGAGCCATGGGGGAAGGCAGTCTGAATGTGGGAGATTCATGTTCTAAGAGCTCTCAGACCTCTGCAAGACATTTCCAGGCTTTCTCCCTCAATTTCCTTCCTCAGCACACACACTCCACAGTGTCTTCAAATCCCAGCATGTCTTAGCTATTAAGGCAGTTTCTGCTTCTCAGTTTTGGGGACAGAGGCTTTGCCCATTACAAATCTAGGCCCTCAGCCCAGAGACCTCTGGATGGTATAAACTTAGCGGAAAGGTAGCAACTGCAGTCTAGAACCAAACCCAGGATTTGGTGATTGCCCTGTTAGGGGTTTTAGGATTGGTAAGGGTACCACAGCTAAGTCTGACCTGTAAAAGGTACCCTCTCTACCTCCCACTATAGGTGGAGGCTAAGGATTTCCTCAGACCCCTCGGTTGCCTGTCTACACTGGGCACAGGGCTGGATGGTGTGCTGTTTGACAGGTCAGCATGCTTAGGAAATTTCAGTTGGGCTGATCTCTAGGCTGGTGTGTGTTTGGGGAGGTGGGGGTGGGGGAGAGGTAGATGCCTGCTGCCTCTTAAACCACCCTGTATAAAATCCGCAATACAGCTTCTTCCATGTACCTGTGCCTGAATTGTCTGCAATAAAGAGGAGTTTGTAAACTATGGTTTCTTTCTTCCTACTTGAGGGTGTCAGATGGGACAGAAGGATGCTGGGGACAATAGGAAACTGATAATTGTGGTGGGACCGTATCCTCTGCTCTTGTAATTCTTGGGTTTTATGATCTCGAAGGTCACCTTAGGTTTTGGGATCCTCCGGCCCATTTCCCAAAGGGGAATCTGAGGTTCATGCCAGTTCAGCTTGTCTGGAGGTCTGAAGGACTGTAGCCTGGGTGGCAGAGTTAACTCTGGCAGTGAGCATGGACCAGGTGGGTTCTGAGACGTAAGGATCTGGGCGGCGCAGTGCGTGAGCATTTGCTGTGCCTCAGCCCTGTGGAACTTCGCTGGCCCCGGTGGCACAGGGCGGGGCCGCGGAGGGGGATGGGCTCTGGGAGGGGTTTAGGCGCCCGCCCCCAGCCCGGAACCTTTCTTCCCTGGCCCTGGCAGATTCCGGGAGCCTCAGCTACTGGGGGCCGGAAGTGGAGGCGGTTGGTGGGGTTGGTGGAGCTCAGAGACGCGGCGCAGGCGGCGGTTTGCGAACTGCGGGTGACTGAGTGTGACCGCGGTCCCGCTGTCGCGCCCCGTCACGGCTGGGCGAGGCCGGGTGGTGCACAGCGTCAGCGGAACGAACGTGGTGCAGGCGGTGCGTCCGCAGCTGGGCCCATGGCCTCCTGCGCGAGCATCGACATCGAGGACGCCACGCAGCACCTGCGGGACATCCTTAAGCTGGACCGGCCCGCGGGGGGTGAGCTGGGATAGTGGGGGTGGACCCTCCGCGAGCGGGCAGAAGGATGGCGCGAGGCTGAACCGCCCTCGGGGCCTGCGAGTCCCTTAGGACCATCTCTGGATTCTCCTGGCTAGTGAGGGCAGACAGGAGTCGGATCTGTAGATCCCTGGGTGTACCCCTCGAAGGGCGCAGATCCCGAAGTGTGACCCCTCCTCATCCTGGCTCCGGGCCGTTCTGCCTTGTCCTTCAGCGTCTCGGCTGAAGGTGAGACCCCTTCTTTGAGTCCGCCGGGCCCCACTGCTTTCCTTACAGGGAAAGCGTTCCTGGCGCGGTGCCCCTTCCCTTTCAGGGGCCTGCTCCAGGTTCTGTATACCGAATTCTGTGTCTAGGCTTAAGCGCTGTGTTGAAGAGTCGACAGTTTCCCTCTATAACTTGTCTTTCCCTCTGGAAGGCAGACTCCAGGCCTGCTGTTCTGAAACTGATTTCTAGGAGGAAGGTGTCGATCCCTGATTCCGTGTTTTTTCTGGAATGAAGGCATCACCGCCCTGACTGGATTAGGCTACAAATTACTGCAAGCCTTGATTTGTTTCCATTTATTCTTATTTTATCTGAGCTCTTAGTGATACTTCAGAATTGCTTTTGCTCTCAAAGACCCCTCCCCACCCCCAATCCCAACAGTACACAGAGAACCAACAAGGTTGCCATATATGATGTTGTCATTGAAAGAAAGGAGTGCTGGGCTTGGTGGCTCAGCCTGTAATCCCGTACCTTTGGGAGGCTGAGGTGAGTGGATTGACTGAGCCATGGATTTAATAACATAACTGGGACTCACAGGTACAGATGAAACCAAGGCATCAAGTTGTGTCAGTGGCTTCATAACCCGAAACCCTGTCTTTTATCATAGTTATTATAGCCTGATGACTGAATTTATTAAGGATTCCAAATAGAAGAGTTGTTATGATTGATCCAAAAAATCTGACTACGAAAAGAGAGATTCAAATTAACTTTTTACTCTGACTCGAAGTAGAAGTATCATGTTATTTATTGTATTGAATGACTTACATATTAGTAATGGCTGATTAAATAAAGTGTAAACCCAAAATAAGTTTCTAAGCCTCCTGACTGACCGAATGGACCCCCTCCAGGTCAAGGAATACCAGAAAAACAAAATTTCCAGACAATGATGGAAAAGGAAGTCAGACAAGCTTTGTTATACCCTT